CACCAGCCAGGCCAATGGTCCGGGCCTCTAGTATCTTATAAAATTTCTTTTTTTGGCAGCAAAAAGATATTTAATGATGGGGTCCTAATAGAAACTAAATTGTTATTATTGACTTGGCAGCTACTATGTGCCAAGTTCTATACTAGGTATTTTATATACTGATATCTGATTTCATCCTAAGAACAATTGTTTAAGGAAGTTATAATCCTATTTCACAGTCAATAAAATTAGGTCAAAGTAGTGTCAGCAACTTGTACAAATTACACAGCACAGCTGGGACTGAAAACAAATTCTGAGTTTTTTTAAAGCTGGGCTCACTCTATTATTCCATGCTGTAAATATTATTTCCATGTTAATTCAAATTTTTATTTGCCCGATAGCTTTATTTAATTTTCTCTATGCTCAGATCATGTAAGTTTATGCTAACTAGCATGACAATTTATACACTCAAGATTATTTGATTTACATTTGAGAGTCATTCTCTGATTACCTCAATCCACAATTAGAGATAAACATTTTTTTTCCAGAGATGTCATTTGTGGAAATGCCATATGGGAATAGTTCTACTGTGATTTCTTTATTGTTCTAGTCAGAATATAACTAATCAGAATAAATATTAGGTGGGAAAATCTATGATCTTTATACCACCCTGTTTTTAGTACACTTATCTAGTGACTGTTGTATCTGTGGCTTCACTGCTATGTTTGAAATAATTATAAAAGGAATCAAGACAATATCAGAAAAAGTATAGAATCATCATTTGAGCAGATTTGGTGTTACATCCTTCTTTGTGCTAACCCCCAGAGGCACTATCACAGACTTGTCTATAAACAGAATGAAGGCAGCTTTCTCAGCATTTGGTATGACAAAAAAAAGAGCACTTTCTGTTTCATTGTTTACCTTGGCTTCATTTATATTCTCCTTTCTTCATAAAGTATAACTTTGTTTCTCTTTAAAAAAAAATTAATGATTGTTCACTGTAGAAGATTTAGAAAATACATATAAGCAAGGAAGAAAGAGAGAGAATGAATGAATAAAAGCAGCTCTAGTCTCAAGACAATGTTTTAGTGCCTATTTTTTAAGCCATTTTCTTTTGGTGTTTTAATTTTTTTCTAAATTACTCAAGAATATGATCGAATCTATTTTCTAAGCTTCATTAAAAAAATTTTTCCTGAAGATTTTGAGTTCTGTGTTTATTCTGTTCCTTTACTAATCATTTATATAGAATAAAAGCCTAATGTGCAAATTGTCCTCTTGGATGGTCATTCAACTTTGAGACTGGGAGTTCGACCATTTACTATGATGTGTGCTGACCACGGCGGATGTCAGTGATGCACTGTGACCTCTTACTGGCTACCCGGGGGCAGGAGGTGATGGGGATGGAGGTGCAGTGAGAATGTGGGGTGTCTGCTGAGCTTCCTCTAACTCCCACTGCTACCCTCCACTGGGACACCGGGGTAGCCAGGGAAGCCCCCGCACTTAGGTGCCAGGCACTCATGAGGAGGAGAGGAGCCCACCTCACACCTGCATGGCCGCTTCCGGGTGAGCCAAGCCATCGCTGCAGGGGCCAGTTTGGGCTTCCCGTGGTTCGTGTAGGAGCCTGTGTGCAAGGCTGGCCAGAAGAGAATGTGCTGCCTGCCCAGCTTCTGTGCGGTGCCACGGGGTGGCCCAGAGGCCCATGCTGTTCCCTGGCCTGTGACGTCTAGCTGTGCTCACCTCATCTCTGTGTGGGGACTCAGACACTGTGAGTCAGGTGGAGGGGGGTACATGGAGGCCCGGGGACCCATGTGCTGCCCAGGGCCCAGGGTCAGCTGGGATCTGCCCTTCCATGCCAGATGCTCATGCTTCAATTGCCAGCCAGGCCTAGGAATCACACCTGTGCATGAATTTTGTACACTGGGCCTCTAGTCAGTCTCTCTCTCTCTCTCTCTCTCTCTCTCTCTCTATCTCTCTCTCTCTCTATATATATATGTGTGTGTGTGTGTGTGTGTGTGTGTGTGTGTGTGTATGTATATATACACACACACATACATACACACATACATATGCATATACATGTGTATATACGTGTATATATGTATATATATGTGTATGTATATGTGTACGTGTGTGTGTGTGTGTGTGTATGTGTGTATGTGTCTCTCTCTCTATATATATATACCTAAGCGACTGTCTGACCGTTCGATCATCTGACTAGTAGCTATGATGCATACTGACCACCAAGGGGCAGGTGCTCAGTGCAGGAGCTGCTGAGCTGCAGTGACTGGCAGCTATGGTTCTCTAGTGATGTACATAGAACCAGAGAGGAAGGAGCCCAATTCTGGGGTGTGTCACCGAAGAACTGCCCTCTCACAATCCGGGACCCCTTGGGGGATGTCGCATAGCCAGTTTTGGCCCTCTTCCCACATGCCAGGCTGAGGGACCCCACTGGTGCACAAATCCGTGCACCAGGACTCTAGTCTACTATAGTCTATTTCAGAGAGCAGAGGAACTGATGACTTGAAATATTTACATTTTATGATGAGTCAGCATCTCAATTTATTACACAAAAAAACAGTACATTCTATGTCTTCTCTAAAAGTCTTTGTATTTCACATTAAAATGTGAGCCTTTATCTGATTTAAGAATTTTAAAAAATTTAAATTATAGTTGACATTCAGTCTTATATTAGTTTCAGTACAGAATGTAAGTAATATAAATTACAAAGTGATCCTCCCTATAGGTCTAGTACTCATTTGATACTATAATAGTTATTACAATATTATTGACTATATGCTATGCTGTACTTTACATCCCTTTCACTATTTTGTAACTATCAATTTGTACTTCTTAACCCTTTTGCCTTTTTCATCCAATCCATAACCTTGTTCATCTGATTTAAATATAGAAAAGAGACAGTTGTTTGTTATGGAGACTTTTAGGTCACCAATCTTCCTTTGTCACCATTTCTTTTTCACTTCCAAATGCAATTCCAAATTTTCCTTCCTGCCATTCCATGAATTTACAGGCCTATGTTTCTTTTATTTATTTATTTATTTATTTATTTATTTATTTATTTTTCTCTTAAGACAACTCATTTTCCTTCAGCTTTGACCAAAGCAAAAGAAATGCACTTGAAGATGGGAAATGCACAGGAATGGGGAAGTTTGCTTAGATAATACCAAGGATTTGTATTCAGTATGGTTGCTAGGTCTCTTAACTGATTAGTGTGTTACAGTGCTCTCAACTCTGGAATCACCTGAAGATCTTTAAAGAGTACTAATGCTTAGTTCCTTCTTCTAAAGATTTGAATGTGATTGGTCTGGGATAGTCCGGGCATTGGAATTTTTTAAAGTTCCCTAGGTGATTCCAATACAGTCAGGTTTGAGAACCATAATTTTAGAAGATGCTATCTATATTCACCTGTGTGATAAACAGGAAGCACTTCCTGCCTGAAGACCAATAATGATCTGCATATCTTAGGCCCTTCTTCACAGGGCCACCATATAGAGATATGGAGTTATGCCTTGCACAAAGGTGCCTGGCAGAGGGAATAAATAGGGGCTGAAACATGCCCTCTCTTTGCTCAGGAGGCAAGCTGCACTCTGACTCTGGACGGTATCTCCTGGCACCTTTTCTCACTTGCACAAAGACACTGCACAGCCTCATCTGACACTGCATCTTTATGCCCTTTCGCCCTACACGGAGACACAGTGCCTTTCCATTGGAGTGTTTGTGACTTTGACGTTCTCACTAATTCCAAACCACTAGGTTCTTCAAAATGAACATTTTCCATTTTTTGTCTTGAAATGAGCACATTATATGTGGCAGAAACAACATGGGAAAATCTGCAAATTCCAATCCATTGACGTTTCTGTAATAAATTAGTCTTTGACCATCTGGAATTAGATTTTTTTGGAGACTATGAATTAGCAATAAAAGTGAAGGACCTCAAGAATGACCAACTGTATAATGGTGCTATGTCAGGGCTACCTAGTCAGCACCTCCATGTTTAGAATACCAGGAGGTTTATAACTTCAAAGCCATACTGAGCATTACACAAGGAGAAACTCTATTCTATTGTCACAGTCTGAACTCTGTGGCCAACCAGTTTATTCTATAGTATAATTTAAAATATAGTCAGGATACTTCAAACCCATCCCCATTACTGGAGAAGCAAGTATATGACCAGATGGGAGTACATTTAGCAAGTCTCAGCAAGTGTCATTATGACCAGAGGAATAATCACTACTAACCGGTAGAAAGTACACCCAGATGTATTTGCCTTATGTGATGGGGACCATAGTCAGTATGATTTAAAACCTATAAGTATGTGATTTTCTCAAGAGTTTCAACATGATGCTAAAGTTTTGCTAAAAAACAAGAACAAAACAACTCTGACCATATCAACCTAATTTATCTGATTTGCAGTTTGTATGCTAAAGGAGTTAAATTTCACCTTCAGTGTGAATGCATTCGTTTGAAAAGCCCAGTCCAGCAACATGTGAATTCTCAACCATGTGTTTCTGTGCAAAATAAATCACTTGATGGGAAACAGGAAATCACTAGTACAGGCTGTTGTTGTTAATTACACATGGAGTTATAACTAGAATGGGAAGAGCAGCGTTTTATTTTAAATCAGGTTTACATATTAACAGTGAGCATAAATTAAAGAACTAGAGAACTTTAAATTGTCATTGATCTTCTCTGCACTGACAGGGGGTAGGTATCCCAGCATCAGTCCTACCCCCTCTTAGAATCATTGCTACTTAGAAAAAGCAATTTTTATGTAGTTAATATTAGCACACATCCTTTGCTGCCTTCCTGCTTCCTAGCAACCTGAAGCAGAGTATACGCTTACCAATCTGCTTTCGGTGGAAATTAAGAACAGAAGACCCAGTGATTTTGCCAATCGCCCCGAGAGGTGGGGGATGTGTTCAGCGAGCGCCGTGCTGATTTTGTGAGCCCGGCATGTGATTTATGTTGCCCACCGTCTGACCCTGCTGCACTCTCCACCACAGGCCAGGGAAGATGTGATCCACATGCTGAAGACGGAGAAAACCAAGCCGGAGGTCCTGGAGGCTCACTATGGGTCTGCGGAGCCGGAGAAAGTGCTGCGGGTCCTGCACCGGGACGCCATCCTCGCCCAGGAAAAATCCATCGGAGAGGATGTCTATGAGAAACCAATTTCAGAGGTAAAAATACGGCACCAGCAATCCCCTCCGAAGGGAGCCTCAGAGTGATAGCTTAACGTCTTTGCATTTTACATGCTGTGATGTTTTCTTTCGAAGGCAACATTTTTGTGATACACGAATGTAGAATTAAGCTAAATTAAGCAGCTCGTGAATCATTGTAGATACATTTCAATGATAAGAATTTTAGAAGCGTTTCCTGGAATATACTTAAAGCCTGAAATGGTATTTTTCATGTGATTATGATAGCTACATGCTCTTATAGCCTGTTATTCTTTCATTTCTCTAAGAGATTATGTGTGTAAAATGTGAAGTGCTTATCGGTTTTAGCATTGAGTTGTCAAGATCATTACCAAATTGATAACCTAAAATTACATTGATTTTTATTATTGATACTTATGGGTTTAAAGCCTCTGTGTTTTGGTATCTTATGTCTAATCAACTCTGTGATAATTAAAATGATCTCATATGAGTAACTTAAATACAATGGTGAAGGCAAAATCCCAAAGAAATGCTTAAAGCAATTCTTTAAGATAAAATCTATTAGGGCTATAGTTAATAATTATATATGAGATTGTATTAGGAACTATTGGCTATTATTATTAATTACATATTTTACTACATGTTAAAAATACTGTCACATTTTATCTGAATTAGGGAACCAGTTGATGGATCTAGCCATATTGACTCTTCAGAATTCATGTAAAAAAATTCATATATGTGAAATAAGTATTATAAATGAAAAAGAACGCAGAAATTTAAAGTCTGAAGCAGTGTATTATAATTTAGCTAGTCGAGCCTTTGCACAAGCCAGTTTGACAGATCTCAGACAAGATCTGCTTCAGACAGTATTTACAACAGATTGATGGTCTTAAAATTTTCTATTTTCTGCAACAAGGATAAACGGAAGCTCTGTTCTCATCTTTTCCTAACATGCTAAGAGATGATAGGATGCAGTCAACAGGCTGGCTCCACTTTCTTGTTTTGAGACCCATGGTTACTAGCTGCCTGTGGCCTTGGTCATGTCACTTCAGCTCCTTAAGCCTCAATTTCCTGCTCTGTCGAGTGGGAGAAACAACAGTACACATATAATACAATTGTGAGGATTAAAGGAAGCAATGCCTGTAAACTCTTAACATCATGTCTGGTACAAGCTAGGTACTCAACAAATATAACCATTGGTATTTGCTTGGGTCTGAGGGTGCTAATTGCTCACACACTTAATTAGTTCCAAAACTTGGAGGGATTTGAGGAGTAAATGCCATATAGAAGTCAAAATATCAGTTTTATGTTATTGTTATAATCACCTGGATTGGAGAACTCAGCTTGGATAAATGGTATCATTTGAGCTTCCTGATTCTTTTCTCCCAAGTTCCAGCTTGGAATGACCCCTCAAAGGGGAGGTAGGCCTGCAGAGCACACGTACTTACCCAGAACCACTGCCCCCAGTGCACAAGCCTTGTGGACACAAATAAAGGAGTTTCCAACCCACCTTCAGATAGTAGACCTAACCCAAATGCTCCTACCTTATAGACAGAAGGGCAGACTAGAAAACCACCCACCTGTGGGTTGTCCTTTTGGAACTGGCTAAGCTGGGCATGAATCTTGGTTCCTTTCTTTCCTCAACTCAAAAAAACTAAAGAGTTATTCTTCCTTGGAGAGGAGTGAGTGAGGAGGTAAAGAAAAGGATGGAAGCTAAGTTTCCTAATGATGCCAAAATGGTGAGGTCCTGTTTGTGAGAGAAATAGAATACTAGAAGAGGAAATGTTTATCTTCCATTATCTACAGGTTTTTGGTCTCTGAAGCCTTCAGGCTTAGCAATCAAGTTCATATTATCCAGGGCCAGGAGTCCTACTTCCAACTTCATGAGGCAAAAATCCCAATACATCACTGTTCCATTAACCTCCTGGGACCATGAGCTCTTAAGAGTTCCTAGAAGCCATGCTACACCTCAGGCCAAAAAATTGCTACTCACTCAAATATCCATACCAAATTAGGCACAGCTGGGTTACTCAATAGCACTCACTGATTATGTAATCAGTGCTGGGGACAAGCTGAGCAACTCCAGTGTCCTCTCCCCAGGACTGTAGCTGCTCCAAAGACCCACATGGATAGAACACATTAAGGCTAAGGCCCACCTTCTGTCCAGGCTGCTCCAGAAAATTTAATATCAATATGTGCTGTTTTTTTCTCTAAATGACCTTAAAATGTCTGTCTGGATATCTCATTCAACTATCAAATTAATAAAGCTCTCATCTGCCCCTCCAAAGTGGATTGAGGAATAACTACAAAAGTCTGACAGATGACTTCAAATATTTAGCTTTATTATTGATGCAAATAAATAAATGACCTCAGCAGATTTTCTATGGTTTCCCTCCTAGACTTTGGAAAAACCACTTGAGAAAGAGTTGGGCCTACAGAACACATATATATCATTTTGTGGCAGGCAGAGTAAAAATTAAGAAATGAGAAGGTTGAGCTGTGACTTATTTGAAGGTTGTGTTAATCCCAAACACAACCTTCAAATAAGTCACCCCTCCTTCCTTAGTGAGGAGTCGGGGAGGGTGTGAAGAAGTGGACAGAGGCTGCTCTTTCCAATACTTTCAAAAGGCATCGAGAGTCCTACTTTATCATAAAGGAAAAAGGAAAAGGAGTCACTCCTTCTACATTTCTGATGATGACAGAAGGATGATAAGGATGAGGAGGATGTTTCAGCAATGCTTGACAAATTCCAGAAAATATGGTGAACATCATCTTTGTAAAAGAATGGGAGAGGCCTTGGGGAGAATGTGTTGTAATATGAAGCTATGAGAAAAATCTTTTCTACAGACTGTCCCGTTAAGATGACAGAAATTTCCCAGAACCAATAAAGGTACAATTTGCCAACCCCTGATGATCTCAGATATTATCAGCCTCCAGTTAACCTGGGCTTCTTCACCAGTCTCTCTGGCCACTTGCTTTTAGGAGATCTAGGCAGAAGGCACTGAGTGTGATGGAGGCAGTATCTATTTTGGACCCTAGAAATTATCCAATCACAGTAAAAATATGCAACCGTAGAGAGATCCTTGGGTCCTTCTTACAATGAAAGGCAAACATGGAAAGCCCAGCAGGCGCAGCTCTGATGCCCTTGCCCTGTGGAGCTACCCTCTTGGGCTTTAGGGAGTTGGTTGTGGGGTTGAGAATGCATTTTAAATATGTCAGCTTCAACATATCTAGAGCTGTGGCTCTCCATTGGAGGAGGGTTAGCAATTTTCCCCACGGGGTATATTAGGCAATGTCTGAGAATAGTTATGCCATAACTCATGGTGATACTACTGACATGGATACTACTGTCCATGCACAGGACAAACCCCCAAAATAAATAAATATTTGGCCTAAAATGTCAGTAGTCCTAAGGTTGGGAAACCCTGGACTAGAATTTGAAGAGGAGAGCAGGATTGGGAACTATCAATTATTATAAGATTTGATCCAATTTAGCAAACATTTACCGAACCCTTACTTTGTTCTAGGCACTGTGCTGGGAGCTAGGAATTTAAAAAGATGGTAAAAGGATGACCCCTTAAGATCTTATAGCCTGGCCAGAGAAATAGGCACAAAGCCCTGTAAAAATATTTGATGAGACCTCTTTTAGTCTGAGAAACGTGCTCTCTACAGGTTCTGAAAGCCTCCCTGTATTTACCATCTCTTGGAAAAAGGACCATAGGTCTTTTTATACTTTTCCTAGGAATGCTTTAACTGCAAACCTTAAAAAAAGATTGTGATGCTGATAATAACCTTTGAGGGGAGAAGTTTGGTACATGTCCATGCTGAGCTCTTATTTTTTTCTGCAGTCAGGAGGGATATTATCCTCTTTCTTTCTGGCCAGAGGGTTTTGTACCATCTCATGAAAATAGTGAAAGAGTTTGTTCTCCTGAGAGTGTAGGAGCCATACACGTGTTCACAGGAGAAGGGCCAGAAGGCCGGAAGTTACTGCAGTCTTCCTATTGACCAGTTTATAAAGCCAAGTGGCCCAGAGAAAATGAAGGAATGAATGGGGGAAACGCTCTCCCCTCCAGGTAGTAAATTACGAGGCCAATGTAAACAAGTTATTTAGAATCATATACAAATAAAGTAAAACATTAAGCTCTTCCCCATGTTTGCTTACTCAGCTGGACAGACTTGAGGAAAAACAGAAGGAAACCTACCGGCGCATGTTAGAGCAACTGCTGCTGGCGGAGAAGTGCCACAGGCGCACGGTGTACGAGTTAGAGAACGAGAAGCACAAGCACACGGACTACATGAACAAGAGCGACGACTTCACCAACCTGCTGGAGCAGGAGCGGGAGAGGTGAGCAGCGCACGCGTCCCGGTCCCTGCAGGGTGCCCGCTGCCCTCCTCCCGGTCACTTCCGGCAGGGCCCAGACTTCGTTCCAGTGACACCACGCACGGGCGCCCAGCTCCTTCCAATTTCTGAATGGTTTCTGGCCCTCGGGAGGGAGACAGACTTTTTACCTGGAACTATTCACGGGAAGATGTTTGAGGGTGCCTGTAAGTAGGACTCTACATCCGCACTAGGATGTTGAAAGCCAAATACTATTAGCCAACGTGGGAAGTTTCTATTTGAACTTGTTCCGTGAAGCACCTACTTGAAAAGCCTCTCTACTAATTGCCCTCTGTTTGACAGAATCTACTTGCTCTCTTTGGGACTGAAATCCATTTATTCAGGAAGGCAACTTTTAAAATTTAGTTTAAAATGAAACCTATTCATTCTTTAAAAAAAAATATTTTAAAATCGATTTCAGAGAGGAAGGGAGAGGGAGAGAGAGATAGAAACATCACTGATGAGAGAGAGTCATCAGTTGGCTGCCTTCAGCACTCCCCTACTGGGAATCGAGCCTGCAACCCAAGCATGTGCCCTTGACTGTGAATCGAACCAGGGGCTCTTCAATCCACAGGCTGATGCTCTATCCATTGAGCCAAACCAGCGAGGGCCCTATTTATTCTTAATACCAGTATAAAAAATTGTAATATGTGGTTACATATAAATTACTTAATGACTTGAACTACCTATTTTTCTTTCCAAGGGTTAAAAACTCTTAAGACAATGTAAAAAAAAAAAAATCAAAACAAAACAAAAACTCAGTGTGTTGAGCCTTGCTTATCTAAATGTATTTGTTTTAAGTATATTTTTATCGCTTTCAGAGAGGAAGGGTGAGGGAAAGAAAGATCGAAACATTGATGACGAGAGACAATCATTGATCAGCTGCCTCCTGCACACTCCCTGCCAGAGACTGAGCCCGCAACCCAGGCATGTGCCCTTGGCTGCAATTGAACCCAGGACCTTTCAGTCTGCAGGTCGATGCTCTATCCACTGAGACAAACTGGCTAGGGCAAGCCTTGCTTATCTACCCTTGCAGGTTATTTTTCTCAGAGATTTCAGCCTTTGAAGACAACTCCAGATCGACAAACTCTACGCTATCCCATTTTATTCTGGCATCTTCTTTTTAGCGTATTTTCTCCTTTTCCTTCCTTCCCATGGCTGAGTAGTTAAGTCTGTGAATTTCACAAGCTTTGAATACAATGACTTGAATCCTGATGACTTGAGTTATTGAGGGTGTCTGCTTCTGTGTATAGGACTTGCAAATTGAGGGCCACTCAGGAACAGCTTTACCAATCCCTGCTTTATTATCTACTTAGTTACCAAAAAGAGATCTGGTCTTCCGGATTAGTTTACTTACCAGAAAAAACTATCACAATAAGAGAGAGGAAATACAACATAAAACAGAGCAGGTTGGTGTTAGCTTTTTTTTTTTTTTTAAGTATTGGTAATGGTTACTTATTCTTAGACTTGGCCTGTTCCTTGGGAAACCAAAATGGACAAGAGAATGAACAATGGCTGTGCAATATCCTCAACTGATGGTTTCTGTAAGCCTGTTTTCCACTTCTGTACACTCAGGTGTATCAGCTTCACGTTTGAACAAACAGATTGTCTGATCTGACATGCTGGCAACCAAATAGTGAGAATAAACTCCATCTCCTCAACCTCTGTGAACTTTCCAACCTGAAGCATAGATATTGCAAACAAGGTTCTAATGAGAGTATAAATTACGTATATCTACAACAGACCCTGATTACATATTTTGTGGCAGAATGTGGTCAAGCAAAAGAGTACCAACTTGTTAGATATATATTTTTTTAAAGCTTTGAAATCAAATAATTTTAAAGAACATTTGTGTGGATTAGATATCTTCTGATCACTTTGTAAATTGTTTCCTTCAGAACCAATATGCTTTCTCTAAAATGTTACATCCCAGTTCAATGCCTAAAGTGGCACCAGTTCACGTAGAGTCGTTGGTTTAAATGAAGTGTGTGGATGGAGAAGATGGTACTTATCCAGGCGGTTTCTTTTGCTTTCTGTTTTGTTTTCCTAATTTCTATGTTCTGTGAGAGCAATGGAAATGATAACAGGGGGTGGAGAGCTTTCTAGTTCAAACAGTACTTTTATATCAGTTGTACAATAAGCCTATCCCAGATGTGTTTATCTACTAATTCCATGTTGCTCAATTAACTCTAGATAAACAATTACAACAAACCCCCCCCCCCTTTTCTGGAGGTAATTTTACTAAGACAACTACAACAAACTAATCTTTTGAGCAAATTGCTATGCAGATGGCTTTTTAAATCAAAGTAAATTAAAAAAAAATTATCCTAAGATGCTTTTTGTACTTTGATCAGCACAACTGGGATATGTCACTAAATTTTCATGTTTTAGATAAGAATTCACTAAACAGCTTTGACTTTCACTTAAATATCAAACCACTTTAAGGTTTTGAAATAGTATGCTTTTGACTCAGCAGGTTATACTTGACTGTTGTATATTTTTTACTGTCAGTGTCCTCCCCCATCAGTCCCCTGACTGCCCACCAGTGTGTATATCACTGTGGGCACACCCTGACACCCTTGTTTTATTAAATTAAACACCTGCTAGGATGTTGGTAACTTGAGTTGGCATCTCTGAATTTCTCTGCAGTCTGAGGCGTCCACCCTGACTGGTCTGTGGCGTTCAGGGGCAATGAAGCTTGGGATTCTTACTGCTTTTTGGAAACTGCCCTGCTAGATCTGCTTTGAGTTAAATCCTCTTTTTGAAGTAAGCGGTCATAATTAGTTCTACTTAAGGGGGCCGGCAGTTTCCTGACCGGCTGGCTTTCCCATGGGCCACATGGCAAGGAAGGTCCTCCCTGCAAAGACCTCAGCCCGGGCCTGGTGCCTAGTTCCTGGGGGCCCAGGTGCGCTGGCAGCCTCTGCCGGGGCGCCACGTGGCCGGCGCCCTGACACCTGCAGGGGAAGCGGAGCTGCAACTAATAAAGAACCAGCGTTTCTCAGCCCCGGCCACAGCCCCGGCCTAGACTGTTCCAAGTCCTTTGTTTGCTTCTTTGTTTTGCACTCCATTTCCCTTCTCTGCAAAAGTCCAGTGTGTGTGTGTGTGTGTGTGTGTGTGTGTGTGTGTGTGTGTGTGTGAAAGAGAGAGAGAGAGAGAGAGAAAGAGAGAGAGAGAGAGAGAGAGAGAGAGAGAGAACCAGAGCCAAGAATTTTCCTTCAAAACATTTAACTTTGTTTCTTCTGTGAGCATGAGTAAAAGAAGGAAAGGAGACTTGAGAAAAGCCTAAGTAGTTTGCTTCTTATAATCACTCCTCTGTCTTGCACTGGGCTTGTGACTCCGCAGTCTTTCTCCACCCCAGACAGCTTTGCATTTGGTGGGGGTGGGGTTTTGGGGGAGGGGGCCAGAGCCAGAGGACTCTATGGAAGGTAGCATCTGGGCTCCATTCTCTGTAATTATATTGCTTTGTAAGGGGTTCTCACATCCAGAAAAGTGGTTAAAGGTAACAAAAAAGAACCCAGGCATACAAGATCAGTAGCAGGTGCTGATAAGCAATCCAGATTCAGATGTCTGATGAACCCAGGAATCCAAAGCTCTGAGCATTGCGAAGGAACTCTGAGACCAGCCATTTCAAGTCCCTCATTCTGCAGGTGGAGAAAGTAAGGCCCATAAAAGCAGGTCACTGGTCTAGCACTTTTATGCAAACGGGTCTTTTGTACAAAATGGCTTGTTTTACGTTTTCTTTTTGTGTGTGTGTGTGGCTCCCACCTCCATGCTCTTATGTCCAAACTATGACACAACATCTTTAAAAGGCAGAGTGGTGGTTATTGTGAAGATATAAACACAGCCATATTAGGACCAGTGGTGTCTCTAGACAGTCTAGATAGGAGAAGCTTTGAGATGGCATCTGTTGGAGAAGCAGCCTGGGGACTTGTTTTGGAGCCAAGTGTGACTAGGATGCACAGTATTCTACTTCAGCTGCATTCTGCTAGGGGTAGTTTGTTGTGTTTTTTTTTTTTTAATATTTTTTATTGATTTTTTTTACAGAGAGGAAGAGAAAGGGATAGAGAGCTAGAAACATCGATGAGAGATAAACATTGATCAGCTGCCTCCTGCGCACCCCCTACTGGGGATGTGCCCGCATCCAAGGTACATGCCCTTGACCAGAACTGAACCTGGGACCCTTCAGTCCACAGGCCGACGCTCTATCCACTGAGCCAAACCGGTTTAGGCTGCTTGGGGTAGTTTTGATGCAAGGCGGGTGATGGTTATGGGAAGGCTACATAAAGCCTTCCTTTGAGTAACTCCTTGTTAGGATCACTGACCTGGACCATGCAAGTGTAAACACTATAGAAGCAGAAACTACTTGTCACCTTTCAGGAGTTGTTAACTCCTCTTGAATAAAAATCCCACAGAGTAAGTGCCTAAAATGGGCAACATATTTTTCTGGGCTTCCTTTATACTAAGTCAACAGACTGTAATCATAATTTATTACCATCATTTGCTGCATATTTATTTTATCAATAGTCATATTCCCAAATTAAAAGGAGAAAATAGCACAGAAAACTGCAATGGCTTACCTGGCATTGTTAATAATAAAGATGAAAATATCCTTTATTGCATTAATTAAGATTGAGTAAAGAAAAGCTCTCTGTAAATGTTATATTCTGTTTGGTTCCTATTTTAAGCCAACTTGATCTTTAAAGGCATAATCCGGATGCATGAAAGTACCTTTAGAGTTTATACTTTATTCCTTGTCTGAACTGCAAGACTTGTGATTTTAATCTTAAGCTTCATTAGCACTACTTCAAGAATGTCAGATTAGAGAGAGCACAGTGACATCAAAAAATGGTCTTGAGCTTAAATATTTGAGGGGAATGTATGTGTGTTTATGTGTGTAAATGCTATTAGAGAGTGCTGTCTAAATCTATAACTGTAGATATAGATTTTAAAGCTTTTGGATTCTATAG